TGGTGCCGAAGGAGCCGCTATCGCCGTGTAAGGGATCAGAGGTTGCGGGTCGTCATCGTTTGAAAGGATCTAGAGGTCGACTAGAAGAAGGGTGAGTAGGAGACTATAAATTTGAAGGTTAACTTCCAATTTATGATAATGTGGATAAAGTGGGTTATGCAATAAACTAAATAGCAAACCGACAAGCATACAAGACAAATACACTAGGTAGTGCAAACCAACATGTGGTTGGAGTTGGATGGTAGGAGGATAGTGGTATCCCAACCCATCAGGGTTCAAGTCCTACACTTGACGACGCTGCTCGCATTTTTCTGAATTTATTTTAGGTATTCCAACGATGTGTAGAGCGAGTAGATGTTCCCGTCGACTACAAATGTGTTTGTGACGACTTTATCAATCTCAAAATAATGTGTCAGCTCAATCTCTCGGAGGTGCTTGTAGAGTAGGGTGTGTGTGAGTGCATTCGTAGAGGTGAGTGCTTGTGCGCACATATGAGCATAGTGTGTTAAAAAATACAGTACTTCCATTAGTATAAAAAACGCTCTTATATTACAAGACAAAAGGAGTAGATAGCAAGGTATAAGAGCAACTCCAACGGGCCGACCCAAACGGACGGTGTTTTTGTCCGTTTTTTATCCGTTTGGGTCGGCCGGCCGCCCGCCGTTCACCCTCTTTTAGTTTTGGGTCAGCAGTGCGCCCAACGGGCCGACCCATTTCATGACCGCGCGTGTTTTAGATCATGCCGTCGCCCTGATTTTGGCACACCAGCGCGCGGGAAAGGTTCGTGCACGCGCGGAGGAAAGCGGCCTAGCGCACGCTAGTTTTGGCGCTCGAGCGCGCGGGAAAGGTTCGCGCGCGCGCCGCGGCCGGCGCTCGTTATAAAGAAGGTACTTCCTCCACACTCTGTCCGCCGCCCACTCTCGCCGCCTCTGCTCGCCGCCCACTCTCGCCGCCTCTGCGCCACCATGTCGATCCGCCGCCTAGGCGCTTCGGATTTTCGCGGAGTCCGCGAGCGCCGCTCCGGCGCCTTCTCCTCCGAGATCTGGTTTCGCGAGAAACGTCTCATCCTCGGCACCTTCGACACCGCAGAGGAGGCGGCCCGCGCGCATGATGCGGCGGCGTGGCGCCTCCTGAGGCCTCGTCGGGATATGAATTTTCCCAACGTGTCGAGCCAGCGGGCGCAGGATCTGGTGCCTCTCCCGCGGCTTTTCACCGACGAGGATCGTCGTGTCCACCGGAGGCGACAGCGTCGCCTCGCCATCGCGGAGAAGGACGTGAAAGCCTTGGTGGTGTGGCGCGGAGGCTTCCCGCAGGACATCGTCGACGAGCGCCAGTTTTACAAGCAAAGGAGGTTGGAGAGGGACGCGATGAGGAGGGAGCGAGCCGCCTATCGGGAGGACAAGCGTTCGCGGAAGCAGACAACTCAAATGAAATTAAAGCTACGAGAAACGGCAGGTTGTGACTTTGAAGACGAGGCGTATGCTGACACTTACATTCAGACGTCGGAGGAGGACATTACCGAGTCGGAGTCAGAAGTCGACGAGTAGTGGTCTTTTTTTTATATGTGTACGCTAGAATTATCTATGAATCCATTTTTATCTGAAAAAATGACCGGCGGCGTCGGCGATGTAGCAGGCGGGCGAGAGTGTGAATCCAATGTGCCACCGACCAACGGGCCCGGTGAGGAAAAAAGGCGGGCGCGCGCGCGTCCGTTTTGTGTCCGCGCCGACGCAAATCAGGCTTAAAAATGGGCCGGAAATGGGTCGACAGGCGGACGAAAGCGGACGCGTGTCCGTTTGGATCGGCGTGTTGGACCGGCTTTTTTGTCCGCGCCGATCCAAACGGACGGCCACGGACGAAATGGGTCGCTCCATTGAAGTTGCTCTAATAAGGCTGGTCATAGTGGGAGTAACATAGGTAGTAACATAGATGCCACATAAGCAAAAATGATGATGTGGCAAGTAGTTAATGAGGAGAGAGGCAAATAGAGTAACATAATATGTTACCATCACATAGCGGTTTCCAATGCATAATGAGTCTACAAAGTAATAAATGAAGGCAACTATGTTACCACACCTATGACACTACCCATTATGAAGGTAGTAATATAGACTAGTAACATATGTATGTTACTAGTCTAAGTTACTCCCCACTATGACCAGCCTAAGATTTGCTATGCAAGAAGAGTTCTTTTTCCCTTTTCTGAAAGGATCAAGAAGATTTGTTTCATTTTTCTGCTACTTTCGCTCATCAAAGGCCGGACGCGCGAAAGGGAAAAATAAGGGACACGGCGGCACGCAGGGCAGGCACTCTCGAAGGGATCTGGCGCGAGCGCGAGCAAGGAGGGAAAACTGCTCTGGGGTCAGACGCCGAGACCATTAATTAAGTCGAGCCGAAGCGGAGCTACCGCGGAGACCGGGATCTGCGGAGCGGGGCCCACAGTGGAACGACCCCTTTTGACGGTGTGCGTGCGTGGAGGCGGGGCAGTGAGCTGCACTTGAGCCGCGGGTTTGGGGTCCGCGAGGGAGAAAGAGAGAGAGGACCCGAGGCCGCTGGTTTTTGGCGGGTGCGGCTCCGGCGACACCGCGGGAAAGAAAAGCCCAGGATACCTTTTCGCTGCCGTTTCACGTTTTGAACCCCCACCCACATCTCACGTACTACTGCTAGTCGCGTTGAGTGTTCCCCCCGTTCTGTTATCGTGCCTCTTCTACGCGTCAAAGCACCTTCAACTTCTCTACAAACATAATACTACTATATGGTAACCAGCACTGTCATAAAAAATAATGTTAATATTTTTTTTCTAGAATACACACGAGCATGCGTATCATATATTCATAGAAGAAGATGCCAAGATAACCAAAAATAATGATAATATGATAACCAACACGGTTTCTCTTCTCATTTACACCAAGGAGATAACGAGGAAATTTGACTTTTTGCTAGATTTCACATGGATCTTGCTAGCCATCCTTTTTAAGCCCAGATGTGTCAAAGCCACTCATGACACAAACCTCGCCACGGCAGACTCATCTCACTGACGAAGGTCACACTGATCAAGAATGATTTGAATCTCCTTCTTCTCCGCGACTGTTGTCATCTCTATGTCGAAACCGATGAACTTCACATTGGCCTCAATCTCGATCTTTGAGAAGTTCAAGTCCCGATTTGGTGGCCCGAGCCACCAACACGTTTTGTCAAAGGCTTTTCACCGACGAGGATCGTCGTGTCCACCGGAGGCGACAGCGTCGCCTCGCCATCGCGGAGAAGGACGTGGAAGCCTTGGTGGTGTGGCGCGGAGGCTTCCCGCAGGACATCGTCGACCAGCGCCAGTTTTACAAGCAAAGGAGGTTGGAGAGGGACGCGATGAGGAGGGAGCGAGCCGCCTATCGGGAGGACAAGCGTTCGCGGAAGCAGACAACTCAAATGAAATTAAAGCTACGAGAAACGGCAGGTTGTGACTTTGAAGACGAGGCGTATGCTGACACCTACATTCAGACGTCGGAGGAGGACATTACCGAGTCGGAGTCAGAAGTCGACGAGTAGTGGTCTTTTTTTTATCTGTGTACGCTAGAATTATCTATGAATCCATTTTTATCTGAAAAAATGACCGGCGGCGTCGGCGATGTAGCAGGCGGGCGAGAGTGTGAATCCAATGTGCCACCGACCAGCGGGCCCGGTGAGGAAAAAAGGCGGGCGCGCGCGCGTCCGTTTTGTGTCCGCGCCGACGCAAATCAGGCTTAAAAATGGGCCGGAAATGGGTTGGCAGGCGGACGAAAGCGGACGCGTGTCCGTTTGGATCGGCGTGTTGGACCGGCTTTTTTGTCCGCGCCGATCCAAACGGACGGCCACGAACGAAATGGGTCGCTCCATTGAAGTTGCTCTAATAAGATTTGCTATGCAAGAAGAGTTCTTTTTCCCTTTTCTGAAAGGATCAAGAAGATTTGTTTCATTTTTCTGCTACTTTCGTTCATCAAAGGCCGGACGCGCGAAAGGGAAAAATAAGGGACACGGCGGCACGCAGGGCAGGCACTCTCGAAGGGATCTGGCGCGAGCGCGAGCAAGGAGGGAAAACTGCTCTGGGGTCGGACGCCGAGACCATTAATTAAGTCGAGCCGAAGCGGAGCTACCGCGGAGACCGGGATCTGCGGAGCGGGGCCCACAGTGGAACGACCCCTTTTGACGGTGTGCGTGCGTGGAGGCGGGGCAGTGAGCTGCACTTGAGCCGCGGGTTTGGGGTCCGCGAGGGAGAAAGAGAGAGAGGACCCGAGGCCGCTGGTTTTTGGCGGGTGCGGCTCCGGCGACACCGCGGGAAAGAAAAGCCCAGGATACCTTTTCGCTGCCGTTTCACGTTTTGAACCCCCACCCACATCTCACGTACTACTGCTAGTCGCGTTGAGGGTTCCCCCCGTTCTGTTATCGTGCCTCTTCTACGCGTCAAAGCACCTTCAACTTCTCTACAAACATAATACTACTATATGGTAACCAGCACTGTCATAAAAAATAATGTTAATATTTTTTTTCTAGAATACACACGAGCATGCGTATCATATATTCATAGAAGAAGATGCCAAGATAACCAAAAATAATGATAATATGATAACCAACACGGTTTCTCTTCTCATTTACACCAAGGAGATAACGAGGAAATTTGACTTTTTGCTAGATTTCACATGGATCTTGCTAGCCATCCTTTTTAAGCCCAGATGTGTCAAAGCCACTCATGACACAAACCTCGCCACGGCAGACTCATCTCACTGACGAAGGTCACACTGATCAAGAATGATTTGAATCTCCTTCTTCTCCGCGACTGTCGTCATCTCTATGTCGAAACCGATGAACTTCACATTGGCCTCAGTCTCGATCTTTGAGAAGTTCAAGTCCCGATTTGGTGGCCCGAGCCACCAACACGTTTTGTCAAAGGCGTGGGTGGTGATGTCTGGCTTGTTGTACGTGCTGATCCAATACCGTACGCCCTCGTGCGTGATCTCATTCGGGAAACGATGGGGGTCCCGTCGATGAATGTCATGGAAGTCGATGGAGCTCCTCGGTCGGTGGCGGGCAACATTGCGGAGGTTGAGGACGACCGAAGAGGAGAGATGGTAGTGGAACTGCCGCTTGAAGGGTCAACGCGGGCTGCGGATTTCATGGAGGCAGATATGATTGTGCCGACGACTGAAGAGAGGCAGGGGAGGGGGTGGATCTGTCGCATGGATGGCTGATGGCGCCAGATTCCTTACAGGTGGGGCGTGGGCAATCGAATTTCGTGACGGCGAAAGAGGTGTCTGTGTGTGTGGGGGGGGAGGGGGGTGCTAGATCTGTGACGACGAGTCGCGATGGGGCGGTGCGGTGGCCTGAGCCAGCGGATTTCGTGGTAATGCCTCCCGGGTGAGGGAAGAAAACACGCGCGGGAAGGGGCGGTTTCTTGGACAACCAGTGCCGGTCCTGGGGCAGGGCGAACGGGGCGGCCGCCCCGGGCCCCCGAAAGTCAGGGGCCCCATCTCAGGTATATGTACACTAGTACGTACAGGCATACAAGTCTTCGAGTGAAAAACACAATTGGAGCCAATCTCAGCGCCTCGCTCAGCCTCTGGTACGCTAGTCTAGGAAACTAAAAAGTATATGGTGGGCCTGGGCCTGGCCCATGTTTGCATGTACCTGGAGACTGGAGAGGAAAAGGAATCTTCGATTCACTAATCACTATTTCCTGTAACTTCGGATTCACTAATCACTATTTCATGTAACTTCGGATCGGTTGTTCCCTGCCCTTTTGGCTGTTCCACTGTTTTTGTTCGTCTAATCCTCTTCGACTCTGCCTCCTCAGGAACGACGCGGCAACTGCGGCAGGTACATCTCGTCGCACCCTCTTCCCTCGCATGTTCTTCTTCCTGTTTATTTTCTTTCTAATCCTGATTCCCAACTTGTCAATCGATCAATCAGGTTAACAGGGAATTGTTGTTAGGGCGCTCGAAGCATTGCGCGCATGTAGTCAGATTGGATTACAGGGAGAAGGTACTAGCAGATTGTCAATACATTGGATGATCTTCTATACTAAATCTAATATTTTAATTAGCTTAATTTGTTCCTTCTAGTTTCAGCAGGGGTCATGTCGAGTTCGGGTAGAAAGAAAGGAAGAAGGACGCAGATGAGGAGATAGAAGAATTGAGAGGATCTCTTTTTAAATACTATAAGAGCGATACAAGTACTCCAAGAAATCCAGACGAGTTGACGATAGTTCTTGCGGGTGACCAAACTAATGGCAATTAGGAAGATGATGGTCATGCTCCTATAAAAGGCAATGCTGACGTCAACATGGATGATAGCATTGTGAGTGATCATGAGCCCATATTTATTTTGTATTGCATATCGGATTTTCTTTACTCTGCCTGTTACTGTGGCATCAGCTGAAAGAAATTTATTCAAAGTTGAGATTGTTGAAGAACTACCTGAGATCTACAATGTCGCAAGAGATGTTAAATGGCCATACAACTTTATGCATTGAGAAAAAAATTGCTTGACGAAATTGATATTGATACTATTATTAGCAATTTTGCATCTCATAATGCTAGGAGAAAATTTTGAAGGTAATACGTAATACATTATATGATATGCACAATCATTTAGGACACACTTAATTATTCTCTTTGATACAAATTATACCCACGTATGATGATTATCAATTAGACATTTATATTAAGGGCCTCAAAGGGCCTGGGATTGTAGTTTCGCCCTGGGCCCCCGAAATCTCAGAACCGGCCCTGTGGACAACTGCCCTATTATAGTCCTGTTGGAGATGCGCCAAAATATGACACATAAACACCCCCAAGGCCCCAACGCTCACGAAGTAAACCTCTTGTAAGGACCATAACGCAAAAGACACAATAAAGTGGCGCAAGCAGAAAAACAAAAAACTCTTGGTTGCGCGGCCAAACACAGAGAAAAGACACCCCCATTCCCCACTGCCCCCTTGCCACTCCACTCTCCCCCTCCTCCGCCCCACTCTCCTCTTCCCTCTTCTCGGCAGCCGCTCTCCCACCCCCGGCTGCTAGGGTTAGGGTTCCGCATTTGCCCTCTCACCCACGGCCCCCGCTCAGCCCCACGGCATTGCGTTGCCTTGCCTTGCCTCTCCTGCAACCCAGCTCAGCCCAATCAGCCCAATCATCCCCGGAGGCGCCCTGCGTGCCGGTGCCGGCGCTTTGCTTCCGAGTTCTTGTCATTTGCGCGGTAAGGAGATGCATACGCAGCTGCTGCCAGTTGTTTTCTCCGCCGCCGCCCTGCATTTCGAGGATTGGTTTCTCACTTTCTTGGAGGGAGGGGTAATGACTTTCTGCTGCTTTTGAGCTGTGTTGTGTTCATGGCTGAAGCTCTGGTGGGTGGATGCGTTTAGTGGGCGGGGCTCGGCACTTTTTAGTCCTCTTCTACCTGCGTTATTGGAGGTTAAAAGCTGTGGGTTTTTATTAACTGTCCTTGTGTTCTTTCTTTGACAGTTAAGTGTTACACCTAGGTTCTTAGTTTTCCTATTATTACCTGGATGCTCAAAGATTTGGCTCTTAAATTAGTGCGCCGTGAAAGCAGGACCTGTGGTTAACTTGCCATTTCTGTGTCCATTTCAGGTTCCAAGGAGTTCATTTGTTGCTTTTCCGTGAGCGTGGGCTGCTGTCTGGCGCAGATCAAGCTGAAAGGGACAAGTGCTAGCTGTGTCTACTAGTACCTGTGGAGTCCTGCGTGATAGTAGGTACAGTCACAAGCTCAGCCCATATTTCGCCCCGGGAAATGCCTCAGGTGCTGCGTTCTTGAGGCCTGCTAGCTTCCAGTCTTTCCCGTGAAGGAGCGTCAATCCGATGGGGTTTGTTGGCAGATTTTTGTTTTTGCTCTTGCTGGTGGTCACCACCCCTGCCTTGGGCCAACTGCCGTCGCAGGACATCCTCGCGCTCCTGGCCTTCAAGAAGGGAATCACTCATGACCCTGCCGGTTTCGTCACAGACTCCTGGAATGACGAGTCAATTGACTTCAATGGCTGCCCGGCCTCCTGGAACGGTGTCGTGTGCAATGGCGCCAGCGTGGCTGGAGTTGTGCTTGACGGCCATCGGATCTCCGGTGTTGCCGATCTCTCCGTGTTTGCCAACCTGACCATGCTTGTCAAGCTCTCCATGGCCAATAACAATCTCTCCGGGAGCCTCCCTAGCAATGTGGCCAGTCTCAAGAGCTTGAAGTTCCTCGACATCTCCAACAACCGGTTCTCGGGTCCAATCCCTGATGATATTGGCAGTCTCCGGAGCCTGCAGAACATGTCGCTTGCCGGGAACAACTTCTCAGGCCCATTGCCTGACTCCATTGACGGGCTCGCGTCGCTTCAGTCGCTGGATGTGAGCGGCAATGCTCTGTCTGGCCCATTGCCGGCGGCTCTGAAAGGTCTTCGGAGCATGGTTGCTCTGAACCTCTCATATAATGCCTTCACAAAGGGCATTCCTGCTGGGCTTGGCCTCCTTGTGAACCTCCAGTCTGTGGATCTGAGCTGGAATCAATTGGATGGTGGTGTCGATTGGAAATTCTTGATTGAGTCAACTGTTACTCATGTTGACTTCAGTGGAAACTTGCTCACCAGCACCACCCCCAAAGAACTCAAGTTTCTCGCAGACATTTCAGAGACAGTTGTATATCTGAACCTTAGCAACAACAAGTTGACTGGGTCACTGATAGATGGAGTTGAGCTCTCAACTTTTGGGAGGTTGAAGGTGCTTGATCTGAGTAGTAATGAGCTGTCTGGAGACCTCCCAGGATTCAATTATGTTTATGATCTTGAAGTTTTGCGCCTTGCAAACAATGGATTCACTGGGTTTGTACCTAGTGGACTTCTAAAGGGAGATTCTCTGGTGTTGAACCAACTGGACCTTAGTGCAAATAACCTGACAGGTATAAGCTCTAATTCAGAATTTATGTTTTTGATCCCCTTGCTATTTCATTTTATGCATGGCATGCAATGCTCATTCTGATTATATTGGAAGTTTGATCCATCTATTTACAGCTCTTTGGGTTTTTATCTCGCACCTGGTTTCTTTCTTTATTTATGTCAGCTGATTTTTTTTTAAAAAAAGGGCAACCTGGTGCATGTAGCTCCTGCTTGCGCAGGGTCCAGGGAAGGGTCCGACCACTTTGGGTCTATAGTACGCAGCCTTTCCCTACATTTCTGTAAGAGGCTGTTTCCAGGACTTGAACCCATGACCTCATGGTCACAAGGCAGCAGCTTTACCACTGCGCCAAGGCTCCCCTTCTTATGTCAGCTGATTTTGTTATGACAAACATGATCTTAGCTGGTGATTACTGGAAACAAGTTGATCTCTCACTGGTCAGTGGTTGACTTAGTATGGTACCAGTTTGTCAATTCTATATATCAAATTGTCTGTTCAGAATCACATTTCTATGCGCAAATGGATGTACATATTGCTGTCTACTGTGGCATTGCCTACAAACTAAATCGATTTCCTCCTTTGCAACTACTTGATTGGGGATTGCTCGCATGATAAAGTTTGGGCGTGCAGAGTCAAGTTGTTACAGAGATATATATCCCATTAGCATAGTTGGGAGTTGATGATATGGCATAACACTACAGATGATATGGAGAAGTTATGTGAGTGAAATTAAGTATGCTATGCATTTCATGCATCTCACCAAACCTATTAGATTGCTGATAATTATGTGCATATTTTTGACATGATGAGAAGCAGGTTGGTTAGGATATATATCCTGAAGGAGAAGTGAAGGGGGATGACCCAACAAACCAAACGATTTTGTTTAAATAAACTGCAATATGCATTTCTGTTGTCAGTACATATTGCATGAGAGTAGCAGTTCATGTGTATTACCATTAGTAATCTTCTGCTGGGTTAATTTCCTATCAGATGCCATGCTTCATTCACCTTTCTTGGTAGATCATTTACCACTGTAAGGCAGAGTGGCCTACAGTATGCAGGACAGCGCTAGGCCATGTGTTGTTGGCTAGCCCTATGCAGTACAGAGCTAAGCTATGGTTGTGTCGTACAGTTCCATTTCATAATTATGGCACTGGCATCTGATGCTTCACAGATGCGTCTGATGTAAAATTATCTTTCCTTTTCTCAGCATTAGAAAAATGTGGAAAATCCATGTGTAAATGCATGCATAATTATCTGCAGTTTTACTTTTGTAGCATGGCATTGTCTACGATGATAATCTGTCAGTATCT